CTGCATACAAGTTCCTGTTATATGTTGAATTTTGTTATGTAACTATAGGGCTTGATCCTATGGTTAAAGGTATCAAATTAATAGTTACCGTAGTTGGTCAACTGCTAGGCCGTGATGGATGCTATTATTACTAACTGTACCACTTTAGTCAGGGTGTCATACAGTTGTCATCAGTTTTTCTCCCTCATATGACAACACTGTGATTGTTCACAGTAAGAAACACCACTATAGTTCAGTACCAAAGGACTGAGCCAAATAGATAGTGACCACTCATCCTTAATGAATTGGGAAGGTAGGTTCTTGGGATAGACACAAAGACCAAGAAGCACCCACACCTAGAAGACATCTCTGAGGAATAGACATTTTCTAGGGAAGCCTTGATACTAGTGATAAAGCTATCTACCATAAGAAATCTACAAGTATCAATGTGGAAAATAAAACAATAAAAGATAGAAAATGACAAGATGCAGAAGCAACGTGCAACCCCAGACCTCCAGCCCACCAGCACCCCCAGGAGAAGTCCAGAGCTCAATGAGATAGAAGGAATTAGAAGCCATAAATGGGAACTTTCTGAAATGATAGCAGTGGAAGTGAAAAAACAAATGGATGCGGCTATAGAAAAAGTCTCTTGGGTTAAAAAAATAAATGACAGAATGGAAGATGTGCCCAATGAATCTAGAGTAGACACAGATTAAAAAAAATAGAGGAGCTTAGGAAAATGATGGAAACCATGAACGCCCAACATGGAAGAAATGAAAGCTATGATCCAAACAGATATTCAGGACATGAAAAATTCCACTGAAAGTATATGAAACAGACTGAACAAAGGCAAAGATAGAATATCAGATCTAAGGGACAGAATTGCAGTGAGCAACCACAAAAAGAAAGCTATCTTAAAAAATAGCAAGGGATGAGCCCGGGATATAGCTCAGCAGCACAGTGCCTGCCTAGCAAGCACAAGGTCCTAAGTCTGATTCCCGGGGTGTGTAGCAGGGAAAGCTATGGACAAAAATCAATCCAACAGGTGCCAGATGAAGCAAAGAACAACAGAAGAGTGAAAGAATAACTTAAGAAAGCCGGAGGTGGCACAAACAGCACAAAAAGCCTTTTCACAGAAGTAATGGCAGAAAAAGCAGTTAGAGAAAAGAAACAAATCACCTATAGAGGTAAACCTATTAGAATCACAGCAGACTTTGCAACACAAACCCCCAAGGCAAGGTAAGTATTTCAAGCCCTAAAAGAAAACAACCTTCAATCCAGACTGATGTACCCTATCTTTCAGAATTAATGGAGAAACAAAATACTTCTATGACAAAGAATTGAAGAAATTAATGACCACCAAACCAGGCCTCCAAAATGCTCTGAAGGATATTCCAGAGTTAAGGAGGACCACAATTCCAAGAACACCAACAGAAAGAAGCCACCAGGCAAGGCAAACAATTAAAGAGGGGGAAGGACAGGGTATGAAAACTAGGAAAGTAATATGAGGATAATCCACTGCATATCAGTTATAATCATCAATGTAAATGGTCTCATTTCACTAATCAAAAGAAATAGATTAGCAGAATGGATCATGAAAAATGAAATCACTAACACAGGTGTAATAGGAGGCCTCACTCCCCACTATTACAAATAGATCAACTAGACAAAAAAAATCCACAAAGAACTACCACAGCTAAACCAAACCTGTGAACAAATGGACTTAGCAGATGTCTACCCAGTATTCCATGCCACATCAGAATTCGCATTCTTCTCAACTGCATATTGGACACTCTCCAAAATAGACCACAGACCAGCCCACAGAACATGCTTAAGTAAATGCAAAGGAACTGAAATTATCCCATGCATATTATCTGACCATTGTGCAGTAAAACTGGAAATGAATGGCAAAAGAAACCTCAAGAAATCAAAATACCATTAAATACCTGGAAATTAAATAACATCTTCCTGAACAACAAATAGGTCACAGATGAAATTAAACAGTATCTACAATTAAATGATAATGCCGATACAACATACCAGAATGTATGGGACACAATGAAAGTAGTCCTAAGAGAGAGATTTATAGTGGTGAATTCTCACACCAGGGAAACAGAATGAGTTTAAATAAACAACCTAATGTTGAACCTTAAACTTCTAGAAAAAGGAGAACAAATCAAACTCAAAGCTCATATGAGAGGAAATACATAAGAACAGAAATTAATGCAATTGAGATAAAGAAAACAATACAAATAATCAATGAATTGAAGAGCTGGTTCTTTGAAAGATTAAATAAAATTGATAAACCCTAACCCAACCTCATCAAAAAGGGGAAAGACCCAAATCTATGCAATTAGGAATGAAAAGGGTGAAATCACAATGGATCCTGTGCAAACATTAGTCAGAGAAATTAAGCAAGAAAAAGAAAACAAGGAATAGGAGAGGAAGAAATTAAATTATTATTTTCAGGTGACATGATCTCTACACAAAAGACACCAAAAGACTTCTATTTAATAACCAAATTTAGTAGCATAGCTGGATACAAAAACACGCAAAATCAATAGCATTCCTGCACATAAACAACAAATGCACCAAGAGAGAAAGTAGGGAAACACCTTCCACAATAGCATCCAAAAAAATGAAATACCTAGGAATCAATGTAACAAAGGAAGTAAAAGATCTCTATGTTGAAAATTACAGTATTTTGAAAAAGGAGATTGAAGAGGATATCTGAAAATGTAAAGATATTCCTTGCTCATGGGTAGGAAGAACGAACATATTAAAAATGGCCATACTCCTAAAACTGCTATACAGATTTAATGCAATCCCAATCAAAATACCATTAGCATCCCTCACAGAACTAGAGCAAATATTCCTAAAATTATTTTGGAATCAGAAGAGACCTACAATAACAATCCTAGGCAACAAAAGTAAAGTAGGGGGCATCCCAATCCTTGACTTGAAATTATACTACAAAGCCACTGATAAAAACAGCAAAAAAAAAAGACCCAGGATCAGTGGAACAGATTAGAAGATGCAGAAACAACTCCAAACACATTCAGCCACCTTATCTTTGACAAAGGAGCCAAGCACATTCACTGGAAGATAGCCTTTTTAATAAATGGTGCTGGAAAAACTGGTTTTCCACAAGCCAAAGACTAAAATGAGATCCATGTCTCTCACCATGCACTAAATTAAATGGATCAAAGATCTAAGTATTAAAACAGAAACACTGAATCTGCTAGAAGAGAGAATACGTAGAACACTTTAAGACATAGGTGTAGACAAGGATTTCATAAACAAAACTCTGATTGCACAGGAAATACTACAAAAAATAACTGGGATCTCATCCTATTAAGAAAACTTTTGTACAGCAAAAGGAATTACCAACAGAATGAAAAGACAATCCACAGAGTGGAAAAACTTTTAGCCAGTTGTCTCTCAAAGGACTAATATCTAGAACATATAAAGAATTGAAAAAAATTAGACCCCCTCTAAATTTAAAGACCTAATCTGAAATTGAGCATTTGAGATGAATACACACTTTTCAGAGGAAGAAATACACAAGAGAAATAAAATACATGAAAAAATGTTCAACATCACTGGTCAACTGAAAGCTGGGTGTGGTGGTGCACGCCTGTAATCTCAGCATTTGGAAGGCTGAGGCAAATGCTGAGGCAGGCCAGCCTGGGGTACAGTGAGTTCAAGGCCAGACTGAACTACATAGTGTGAAACAACAAAAAACTAGAGATGCAAATCAAAACAGCACCCAGATTCCATCTCACTCCAGAGAGAATGTTTATTATCAAGAAATCAACTAAAAACTAATGCTGCCAGAGCTGTGCACATCTCCACTGTTGCTGGAAGTGTAGACTGGTATAACCACTGGAGATTCCTCAAACAACTAGGATTAGAGGTCCATTTGACCCTGGGGTCCATTTGACCCCAGATGATACCCTTTTGGTTATCTTCCTGGAAGAACTAAAGATATCCATCATACCACAGCGATATATGTGCACCCATGTTTACAGAAGCACAGTTTGTAATAGCTAAATCTTTGAAACAACCCAAATGCTCATCAGCCAAGGAATGGATAAGAAAAATGTGTACTTTTTTTAAATAATGCAGTACCACTCAGCCATAAAGGATAAATTTGGGACATTCCTATGTAAATGGATTCACCTTGAGACTATACTCTTAAGTGAAATAAATCAGACACACGTGTAAAGATTGCATTATTTCTTTGGTGTGAGAAACCAAAGGGTAAATAAGGACCAAAGTGTGTAATAGGTATTGTGGAATAGGAAGAAATTACTCAAAAAAAAGGGAAACTAGGTAGAGGGAGGGGAAAAGGAAGGGAAAAATGATAAAAGAATAAAATGGAAATAAAGCTTTGTAAATAAGGAGGGGAAGAGGGGATGAGGGGAGGGGATTGGGGAAAAAAAAGAGGAACCAGGATATACTACATACAGGTACAAATTCCCTATGATGTGATCATTATGTGTATCTAAATTGTACCAATAAACTTAATAAAAAAAAGTTCAATGTTTAAAATGCCTCTTTCTGGAGCCAGGAGTGATGGTGCATGCCTATAACCTCAGCACTTGACAGGCTGAGGCAGGAAGAGCACCACAAGTTCGAGGCCAGCATGGGCAACATAGTGAGTTAAAGGCCAGCCTGAAATACATAGTGAGATCTTATCTCCAAAAAAAACCAAAACCCTTTTCTTTTAAAGAGACGCTTTAATATATAAATACACATACAGATAGCTGTATAACCTGGACTTGATTGCTACTCTTAATCTTTTTTCCTTAGATACACTTAATATATTGAGCCCATCATTGTTACACAGTTTTTTTTTGGTACTGGGAATCAAACTCAGGACCTCGCACTTGCTAGGCAGGTGCTTGTGCCACTAAGCTATATCCCCAGCCCCACCTTTCTTTTAAAGTTAGAAAACCCCCACAACCTATTTAAGTGACTTGTTACACAGGGAGACAGAAAAAAACAGTTGATATACATTAACTTTTTCAATTAATATTATGTACAGTTTTATTGCCAGTATATGCACAACAGTAAGCATAGAACTATAAATACACAATGTAACTAACAGTAAAAAATAAAATTATTACAGGTAAGGGGGAGAGGATATAAACTATTTTCTTGCTGCTAGAACAGAAACAAAGGAGAAAGCCTATGACAAATCATCCATTCATTACTCGTCTCAAATTCTTTACATACATTTCTACATCTTTTCAATTTAACAAATAAAGTACAGATAATTCTGTAACAACAGCAAATTGCTTCATTAATAGCCATTTGCCTTTCCAGTCAAATTCACTTTATGTTAGGAACTTTATGTTAGGATTTAAAAAAAAAGTTAAGATGAGAAATCATTAGTACCCTTGTTCCAAATTATCTAATTTGGCCTTTCACCCAAACTGGTAATTGTAGAGCTTGGCTGCATGTGAAAAGAACAAGTTTAGCAAAAGGTGATTACAAAAATTTGTTCAGAAGTAACAAAAAAGTCACCCTTTAAGTTGTTTTCCAAAAGACACTACAGGCAGCAGCTCAGTTAAAAGTATTGGCCCTGAAGAGGTAGAGAATTGGAGCCTATTATACAAGAAAGCCGTGGCACCATCTTCTCTCTCATCAGGATCAATGTTTCAAGTAAGACAATTTCATGGTCAAAGGAAACCAGGCCTCACCATTTAAAGAAAAGGTGCTGGTTGGTGCCTATGTCTCATAATTAGTTATTAAATTAAGAAACAGAAGACAGTCAAGGACACACATGCACTTGATTTTTTTGTCTGTTTCCATTATCAAGTTTATTCATAAGTGAATTTGGTATTAATAAATACAAAAAAGCATCATTCACAACAAACATAAACCAAAAGACCCCACAACAAAACCTTCTTTTTTTAATAGTGTCAAGAAAAAAACAGGCAGATGATTTGGTGCAGCTTTCTTAAGGGGCCATAGAGGGGACACGGTTTTAAATAAAGATGGCAAGATCATAACCAACAAACAATATCAGTTTTGTAGAACTGGCTAATGCCGTGACATTTCTCTTTGAGGTCTTAAGTTTTCAAACTACTGATCACCTCAAAGAAGTTGCAACTAATGACATGTATTACCATCACATTAACAGAGTCTGGCTGAAGTTAAAATTAGTCCTGCTTTGTTTCACATCATTTTCAATATTTCTAGCATAGGACATGATACAGAACAAAACTCAAAGTAGCAATAAAAATATTATTCTGCAGTTGAATAGAGGCAAAAAATGTTTTAGACTGTTAAAACTTTTAAAGCTGTAAGCATTCCTGTTTAACCAGCATTTAAACAAATTTGTACAATCATAACACTGGCAAAGGTTAATGGGAAGACAAAGTACAAACATGTGAAATGATGAATTAATTAAAAAATTACTTTGTATCAACCAATTAATATTAATACTGCTTCTTGAATTTGGAATAACTATCATAAAAGTTACATGCAGGCTGAGGATAGCCCTCTATTACAGAAAATACAAAATGGAAATAAAACAAAAAGCCAAAACTGGGAAACAATGATTAAGTTCCAAAAAATGTATTTGAGAATTTCTTTTCATTGATGAGGGTGGTCTGTCTGTCCTTTCTTTGAGAGACCTAATTCACTTCAATGAGCTCACTAACTTTGTCCAGAAACGTCAGTAGTGGGATCAGATCCTCCAGAACCTGTTTGTGCACGTTTGATGTAAAGATTCAGTAGCTTCATCTGTGGATTCAAGCCAAACATATGTAATTTGAGCAAGCTGTTCAAAATTATAAGATGGTCATTAAAAATGTTACATACGTATATGTGGACTTTGAAAGATACATCTTCATTAGGTGTGGTGGTGCATGCTTTAATCCCAGCACTCAGAAGGCTGAGGCAGAAGGATTGTTATGAGTTTGAGGCCAGCATGGGTGACATAGTGAGTTGAAGGCCATCCTGAACTATATAGTGAGATCCTAATTCCAAACATAAATAAATACAAACTTTAAAAAGGACACATCTTTAGGCTGGAAGTTATTATAATGCCCAAGCTATTATTGATAAAAATGTTATAGTGACAGATATTCCTCATCTAAAGACTTACCTAGTGAATGACTGCTCAGACTTGCAACTGAGGCATGCCACTTGGACTTACACCCTTTTTTTAGGTACAGTTTTGTACATCTTTTTTACAGAGCCTCAGTGCCTTTTTTCTGTATAGTATACTTAGTTTATACAGCACTATAAGTTCTGCTGATTGTACTGTATAGTACAGCATGATAGTTTTATATTATACATTACAGTACTGCATGTAGGAATGTAAATAAAAGTGAAGTCATCAAGTAGGAGTTTCCTTTGACCATTTCTTGGTTCTTAGTATTGTAATGTACACACTGTACACAATTCTTCATTTAGTGGCCAAGTCAATGAATTACCTAGTCACGGGACTGGGACTCGATCATTGAATGAGGACAGAGAGAAAAAATATTTATCACAGTTCATAAAAAACAATAAAAAATTCAAGCATTCCACACTTTGGGAGATACAAAATAAATGACAAATATGTAACTACAATAATCTGTTCTTAATGAAACAGTCCTTGGAAGTAAAGACCTGGCTGTGGGAGAGGGAGAGGAGTTAGCTGGTATAAATAACCAGAAGCTGTTGGCATTTTTCTGTCGACTACTCTACCGAACCGCTGACTTTACCTGAGTAATGTTAGTAGAGATAGGGAAAAAGGGGTATTAGGAGGAATAAGGAATAGATCCTTAACAGCTCAAAGTCCCACTCAGTAAAAACTGAGTAACAAATTTACCCTTTAATATGCACCATGCTTCTGTCTCTATGTCTGTCTGTTTCTCCCTCCCTCCCTCCGTCTCCCTCTCTCTCTGTTCTCTCTGCCACCCAGGACGCTCTCTTGAACCCAGGACACTCTACCACGGAGCTATGTCGCCAGCCCTTTCTATTTTGAGACAGCGTTTCCCTAAGTTGCCAAGGCTGGCCTCACATTTGTGATTCTCTTGCCGCCCAAGTGGCTGGGTTTACAGGTGTGCACTGCTTTACGGTTACCGTCTTTAACACGACGCAGCACTACTTACTTTACTGCCAGTGAGTTGACTGAGATGCGGTTTTAGTTCATCACCAATGACCGTATGAACAGCTACAAGGCAGAAGACACAAGCTTTCCGAACACTGCTCTCTGAGTTATCATAACCCTAAGGAGAAAAGTCTACTGTTAGTGCTTCCAAGGGATCTGAGAAAACTACCTTTTTAACACATCCAAGAGGCAACTCAAAAACAAGATCTCACAAACTCTGCTGATGTCAGTCAAGTTTTCAGCCTTCTCTTTTTCCACTAGCAAGGTACTCCACTCTATTATTAGCTCCTTATTGGTACTTTCTTAAGCTGTACTTCTTTATTTTAATAGCCATGGAAATCTTACTCCTGAATTTTTGTTTTGTTTTGAGTACTAGGGATTGAACCCAGGTTCTTATGCATGCCAGGGAAAAGCTCTACCAAGTCCTTTTAAAATTTTTATTTTGAGATGTCTTGCTAAATTGCCCAGGCTGACCTTGGACTGAAGATATTCCTGCCTCAGCCTCCCAAAGTAGATGAGACCAAGTGGTAGGTGTGCACTGTCAAATTCAGCTTATAAGGTATTTCTGAATCAATTATGTGAATATATATATATATACACACACACACACACACACACACACACACACACATTTATTTATTTATTTATTTATTTATTTATCTGGGAGAAAACAGTTTGTCTTTACTAAAATCCTGATCATTTTATCTTTTTAAAAAGAAGTCAGGAACAATGAAATATCAAGATAGCTACAATAAATATATTCTTTATAATTAACATTCTATCAAACTAGTCCTTGTATTTCTCACCATTCTGATATAATTTTTTACACAGTCTTCATAATAATGACATGCAGCATCCACTTAGCATATATCCTAATTTAACTATTTTACAGGCTTGTAAGTTAATTTGCCATCTCCAGGGCCTCATTCATCATAGAGAAGTGCTCTAAGGCTGAGCTATACTTTCAGTCCTAGTGTTTGTTGTAAGTTTGTCTCTTTTGCCAACAGCCTCCCTCCTGCTACATTTCTTTCCTATCACAATAACAGTTCAAAGAATATTGCATTCAATGTTCAAATATTTAATGCCAGCTGTGTGACAAGAACAAGCCACTAAATAATGTTCAGTGTCCAATGAGATATATACCAACAGAAGTAATGGAATCACACAGCCAGGAGGGAGTAGGACAGAAATATGACTGGAGGAAATACTTTGCAGTGAAAATGTTATGTGGAGACCTAAGAAGGATAAGAATAAACTAAGACAAAGTGGGATGAGGACGAATGTTCCAGAGAGATGTACACATACAATGACCCCACAGTGAGACAGCCTAGTGCGCTCTATGAGTGAAAAAATTCATCATAGCTGGAGCACATGAAGTAGGAGGGAAAGGTAGGCAGGGGCTACCTGGGAGAACCACAGCAGAACAAACAGGCTTGTTCTGTCAGTGGAAACCCCTGAAGAGCTTTAAGCATGGCATGAGTCAAAGCTGAATTCAGAAGGCTAATCTAAGAAATGTCTGATTTAATCAAAGTGGGTATTAGTTTCCTATGGTTGTAATACTCACCAAAAACCTCAAATCACTGTTCCTTAAGGCCGAGTAATGCGAATCTTTGTCTCCATTTACACATCGCCTCCACTGTGTGTGCATGTATGCGACCTGCGGTATGAAATCTACCTCTCCCTTACAATGGACACTTGTTTATAATGGACATTTATGGATCACCAGGATGACACAGGATTATCTCATCATCTCAAGATCTTTAACTTTACACCATCTGTAAAGACTGTTATCCAGATAAAGTAACATTTATGGATTCCAGAGAGTAAGACAATCTTTGGAGTTACCATTCAACCCAGTATAAGATCCTCTGCCCATTTCTTGATTGGTTATTTTCCTTGCTATTACTGAATTGTATGACTTCTTTATATGTTAACGATACAAGTGCCTTATCAGATTTGTGAGTTATAAAATTTTCCTCCTATTGTGTGAGTCGCATCTTTTACTTTCTTGATGGTGTCCTTAAAGCAAAAAGTTTTCAATTTTGATGATGTTCAACCTATCTTTTTTTTTTTCCTGTGTGGTAATTATGCTTTTAGTGTATTATTTAAGATCACACTACTTAACCCAAGGTGACAAAGATATACGCCTATACTGTCTTGGTTTTTTGTTTGTTTGTTTTGCCTATACTGTCTTTGAAGCACACTTTTTTTGTTTTTTTTTTTGAGACAGGGTCTTGCTATGTAGTTCAGGCTGGCCTTGAACTCACTATATATCCTAGGCTGGCCTCAAACTTGTGGCAATTCTCCTGCTGCAGCTTCCCAAGTGCTGGGATCACAGGCGTGTGCCACTATGCCTGGCTTGAAGCATAGGTTTTACATGCTTCAAGTCTATGATCCATTTTCAGTTAATTTTTTAAACTGAGGTGAAATTTACAGAAAAAAAAATTAGCCATTCTAAAGTGTACAGTTCAGTGGCATTTAGTATATTTACAATCACATTTATTTAGTTACAAACATTTTTATAAATAAGAAAATAATACCCTTGCATTTCTTATTTGTGGTGCTGTGAATGGTGTCATGGGTCTGGTGCATTCTAGATAAGAAGTCTAAAACTGAGCTACATTCTCAGCCCTAAAGTTATTAATTTTAATGAAGTCTAATCAGCTATTTTTCATTAATGCTTTGGTATCCTATCTAACAATCCACTGCCAAATCTAAAGTCACTGAGATTTATACTTATGTTTTCTTCTAAGTGTTCTATAGTTTTAGCTCTCATTTTCAGATCATTGATTCACTTATTTTTGCATATGCTGTGTGATTAATGAAGTTTCTGTTATCTCAGCCACCCGCCAGTGACCTGGCAGAGATGTCTTTAAATGCCTAGTGCCAAGACCTACCGAAAGTCCATCCAGTCTTTGCAGATGGTCTCTGAGCTGGGGTACTCATCCAGGATTGGGCACCTACAACTCTCCGGTAGCCTTTACCTCCTGTGTGCATGAAACCCAGTGATCAGCCAGGGGCCCCAGCCTATGGTTCACTAAGGTGGATTTCCTAGGATCTAAGGTAGTCCTTCAAAGTCCTTACTTCACCAAACATCTTCTTCCTTGGCCTCCTTTTACCAGGTGTCTCAACTGTTACTTGCCTTGTCTATTGTCCCTTGTCTCAGTGGCTATGGGAAATATATGTCTTTAAATGTTTTCAACAGTGCCATACTGGAAGTCACTTCAGCCTGAGAGGAGGTAAAACAAAGGCTAGTTTTTATGCCAGTTGCTCAGGGAGCTGCTACAGAGATCAAAACAAGGTCCACGTTCTCTCTCCTGGCACCAAGACTGTGGATTATAATCCCCACAGCTACTAAGCAGTGGGAATGGTAGGCAGTTAAGTAACATTTTTTGTTACTGATTTTTTGTATGTGCCAGGATTTCGCTAAATTGCCCAGGCTGGCCCCATATTTGCAATCTTCCTGCCTCAGTTTCCCAAACAGCTGAGCTCATAGGTGTATACCTCTAGTGCCCAGATTGTTACTGAATTTGGGTGACCTCTTTCTTTCATTACATACTCCTTTGATAACCCTGAGTTTTTAGTTAGATCCTAGAGTTTCAAAAAAAGGGGATAATTTCTTTCTCTCTCCCTCTCTCTTTCCAAACTTGAGATCCTCCTGCTTCAGCCTTCTGAGTAGCTAGGATTATAGGCATGTGCTGTCATGCCTGACCATCTTAATTTTTCTTTTTCAAACTGATTAAACTCTCCAGGTTCTGGGCTGGGGATTTAGCTCAGCGGCAAAAGCACCTGCCTGGCAAGCGCAAGGTCATGAGTTCGGTTCCCGGTACCGGAGAAAAACCAAAAAAAAACAAAAACAAAAAAACTCTCCAGGTTCTTTAAATCTCCTTTCCCTTTTATTCATGACATTTCATTATTGTTATTATCAATTTATTATTTTTGGAGGGGTTGAGATAGGGTCTCACTATGTAGTCCAGGCTGGCCTTGAACTTACTAGGTAGCTCAGGCTGGCCTCAAACTTGAAGTGATCCTCCTGACTCAGCCTCTTGAGTGCTGGGATTACAGACATGCACCACCATGTCTGGCTCATGCCATTTCTTTATTAAAGAAGTTTGGTAATTTTTGTTGTATTATTTTCAAATTCTGGATTTGACTGACTGTATCCTTAAGGTGTAATTAAAATTTTTTTATATGTTCTGAATTTTGATAGTAAAATGGGCAGGCTTGATTAGATTCAAATTCAATGAATTGTTTTAGGAAATTTTTTTCTGGTAGTGCATCTCATAGAAAGACACATAATGTTTAGCTGTCCCACTTTCAGTGACAGCAAGAGTGGTCAGTGGGCCACTCTGGTCAGTAACTTCCTTACTGAAGTTACTCTGACTTCTCCATATCTATTATGACCCATCATCTTTTCCCCTAATGTTTTTAGTAGCCACTGAAAAATTGCTTTATAAATCCATTGTATAAATGGGCTAAAAAAAAGGTAATTTTATAACTCAATAATCCCTCTTGGACTTATTAGCTAGAATTCTTCTAAAAGTCCTTTATCTCAACAAATGATTGGCTATGCTGAAACAGGATAGGTAGGCTATATGTTTTCTTTCATTTTATTAATCAGTTCCATAAGGAGTTAGCGCCCCAGTGACCATCAAAGGTGACCAATTTAAAATATATCAACATAAATTCAGGTATTTCATTTCAAAATTTGATGTATTTTAATCCATTACAGCATTATTATTTTTAAATCTCAGGTTTCTTGCTTACAGATACAAGATTTCCAAGATTCTTTTTGTGTATTTCTTGCTCAAATCTGAAACCAGTTATTTTTCCAAAGACATCTAACTTTTTTGAGTGGAAAATGGTATCTGGAGACTACAATCTTGATATATTCAATTCAAAGACTATGTGATACATTATTTGTTTTACAGACACGTGTAGTTTTTCAGGGTGGTTATGTATGTATGTATGTATGTATTTATTTAAAGACTCACTAAGTAGTTCAGGACGGCCGCCTGCCTCAGCCTCCGGAGTGCTGGGATTACAGGTATGAGCTGCCATGCTGAGCAACACATTGGTATATCAATGTGACCCCTATTCCAAAATAAACATACCAATATTTTTCCTACCTACAAATATGCAGTTCAAGATTTCTTTTGTCTTTAAGTTATACCCCACTTGAAATTTATAGTATAAAATTCTTTGTTGAGCTTTCTTTACCTGCCACTTTCTTTTTTTTTGGTACCAGAAATCTAACTCAGGACCTTGTGCTTGCCAGGCAGGCACTTGTGCTGCTAAGCTATATTCCTGGCCCTATCTGCTGTTTTCAAATCTATTGTCTAATTACTCCTTTTATGAACTTTAAAAACTGATTCACATTTTCAATAGCTTTCATTGTTTCTTACATTTTAAAACTTTGTTCCCTTAAATGCAGCCTCCTTAAGGTTTCTTTTGCTTTGTGGCTCTATTTTCCTAATATACGTTCCTTATGGATACATTACAAACCACTGTCCTCTTCCTCTCTTTTGAAGGGGAGACCCTACAACCATTTTCTTCACTCATGTATGAGTGAAATGGACTTTTCTCCTTTCTGTATTTGAAGTGAAGTCTTCTATGTAGCTCTAGCACTACAGTATTCCCTCTTCTTGTTACCTCCTAGTATAAAAAGTAAAGTCCTGCTGTGAAGCTACCTCTGTCATAGTACTGCTGTGATGTTCAGTTTAGACTCTATTCTAGGAAGTTTTTTCCACCTAAACGAGGAACTCTTCTGGAAGGGAACTTCAACAAGATATTTCTAAGAGCTGAGGATTCAGCTCACCTCAGCATGATCTGACATGCTGAGTACTTTTGCCTTCACCTTTAACTTTTTCCTCAGACATGCTATTGTCTCTTGCCTCTCCTAGTTCTGGCCCTTATGCTTATGATCTTAATTTTAATAGTTTATAGAAAAATGATGCTAAGATTTAAATTCATCAGTGTTCCTTTCTGCTACATTCCCAATAGTTATGTACGCTAAGAATTTCCACCAAGCTAATCAGAGGAAATTTGAAATTTACAAAGACTTACAGCCACAAGAGGCCTTTGCTAGTATCCACGTATTCTAAATATTTCATTGAACAAACCTTTACTCAGTATCCATAATATGTATGATACATACATACTGTATTGTGTTTTTAGTGCCAAAACATAGATGAAAAGATCTGGCTCTTGTCTTAGGACCTCATAATTTAGTGAGTAATACATTTAGCAGCCGCCTCCTTGGCGCAGCAGGCAGCGCATCAGTCTCATAAGCTGAAGGTCCTGAGTAATACATTTAGAAGAGAGTAAAAAAATGTAATAGATAGATATACAAAGAGATGAGTAATCAATTCCCATTAGGAAGGGTCTTAATATACCCACTACATTTAGTCAGTCATTAAAATTAATTGGAGTATATTACTCATTGGATGGAAAATGTTCATATTATATAGCTAAAGTATATTACAAAATATCTCATGTTTTCTAAAATGTTTACATTCATGGTTTTGTATGTATAGACAAAAACACTATCTATGTGACTTTAACTTTGTATAGCCATTTTAGAGATAAATCAGCAACATACAGAAATTCTATTTCTAGATGTATACCTCTAAGGATAAGAAGATACTGTATTATAAAGTGGTTCACTGAATATTTATGTGAACAAAAAAACAAGAAACATCCCAAATGTTCATTAAGAGATAAATGGATAAACAAATTGTGGTATATACATAACTGGCCTATTATTCAGCCATAAAAAGAAAAAGGAGGAAACTTGGAAATATGTTATAACATGGACAAGCCCTGAAAATATTATGTTAACTGAAATAAGCCAGCCACAAAATGGTAACTATTTATGATTTCACAAACATGAGAAATCTACATTAGGTAAATGTTAGATTTTAGTATGTGTGCTGCCAAAGTATGCATGACAAATAGGTAAACTTTAGAGACAGAACGCAGAAGAGAGAGTACTTGTCGCTGAGAAGGAGGGGGAAATGTGGGGGTAAGTTAAGTGTTTAATATGGACAGAGTTTTGGCTTGGGATGATGAAAAAGCTCTGGATTTGGATAGTAGTGATGTTTACACAAAACTGTAAGTATACGGTAAATTGTGTTCTTAAAAATGGTTATGGGCTAAGTTTTATGCCATGTATATTTTACTACATCCACACCCACCTAACTACACCTATACCTCATTTTTCTTTGTCTTACAGGACAAGAAGAAGGCTTTTGTCACTTGCATAGTACCTAAAATAACAGAACATCAAATGTGCCATAGCTTATTCCTCCAAGCTTTGCTCCTTACCTGTATTAGGCCAGGCATAATCTCTGGCAAAAGCAGGTTAAGTGTTTCCTTGGACACTCTCTCTATCACTTTTGTTTGCATTTTGATGGCAGCCAGGTTAATTGGGTAATCTGCAGTTTGGATGATAGGACAAAGCACTTTGATGCACTGCTCTGCACTAATTGAGGTGGCCAACACTGACGCAGCTTCCTCAGCCGATCTCACCACCTAAAACAAACAGGAAATTAAGCCAGAAAGTAATCTTAAAAATCCTATATAATGTTCTGGAAGTATAAACTTCATGGTTTTTAAAATGATATCTTTGGAAAAAAATGATATATTTGGTATTTGCCTTCAAAATACTGTAATAAATATAAGGGTAAAAATAAATTAGCAAATGCCAGTAACTTTTGAAGCTACAGGATCAATTCATAGGGCTTTATTTTACCTTCTCCATTCATTCATTCATTCATTCATTCATTTATTTTTACTGTTAGCTAAAGTAGTTTCTATTTTGTATTGTTTTTAAGATAGGGTCTGGCTATGCTGCTCAGGTTGGTCTGGAACTTGTGGGTTCAAGTGATCCTCCTGGCTCACAACTTCTTGTAGTTGAGACTACAGGTTTGTATAATCATGTCAAGCTGAAGTCGTTTTTAAATCAAACCATGATCTAGTTGTATTGGAGTGTGGACTCTACTTATCCAGACTGTAATGTGAATGAAGTCACCTGCATTAGCCATAGTGAAGTCCCATTCATTATTAATCTCAACTCCAGGTGTGCTTATGTGAATATGAAGTAAATAATGTGTCAATATGAAATAAAATAAAAATCACCTCATTATTGTGTTTACAAGAATTAACATGCTATCTCCCCTCTTCTTCAGTGATTTTCTTTCCTTCATATTGGGTTTGAGGGAGGTAAAACACTGGTATTACCATGAAAAGTAATGGCTACCGTTTTATTAGAAGCTGTAATCTCTAACGATAGTTTTAGGGACAGCTGTGGTGGTATACACCTGTAATCACACAATTCAGAGGCTGAGGCAGGAGGATTGCCATGAGTTCGAGGCCAGCCTGGCTACATAAGTGAGTTCAAGGCCAGTCTGCACTATACAATGAGACCTTGTTTCAAAATCCCCCCAAAAAACAACAAAAAAAGAGAGTTTTAAAATCATGTAAATTAATTGTTTTTATGCTTTTTTTGGTAGTGTCTCACTTATAGTTTCAACTAGTAGAAAGTGCTTAATGGTACAGTAGGAAATACACTAGAAATCAGAGGATCCATGGCTCATTTCAGCTACTACACCTTAAGAGTGTGAAACACGAATGCTATAGGCCTTATTACAGGGTCAGAAGGTGACTAACTAAACTACTATTGTTTTTTAAACATTTAGTGAGCTGTTGTTGATGTATTTAAAAAATTGTAAAAATCCAGATAGATTTAAAAGTTATGATTCACTCTTTTAGAAGATTTAGTGAAATCTTCTCAAAAAGTAAACTATCCTACACTTTTTATTTTCTGTCTTCCTGGTGGTTAATAAGTGGCAATCACCTTGCAGTTTTAGTTGCATTTTCTTAATAACTAATGACTGTGAGCATCTTTCCATGTGCTTATTGCCAATTGTACATCCTTGAAAAAAATGTCTATTCAGACTCCTTAAAAAATTAAATTTCTTTTTCATTGTTGAACTGTAAGAATACCTGATAAACTATGCAGTTCAGGCTAGCCTTGAACTTGTGGCAAACCTCCTGTCTCAGCCTCCCAAATGCTGGGATTACAGGTGTGCACCACTATACCCAGCAAGGTAAGTATTTATAAAGGAAATCATTGGTTAGAGTATTTTCAATGCCATGTTTACACGGTTTATATAACAATATAAGAATAAAGCACCAAGCCAACTGTGAGGTCACTCACCTCCTTGTGAGGATCTTTATGTGCTTCCAATGTTTTCATGACTGTAAGTTCTGCATAGTTTTTAAATCTTGCTGGCTGATGCCTTAGGATTTCTCTTAAAACCTTCAATGCCAAGGCCCTGATTGTAGGCTAAGGAGAAATATAAACGTTTTTAGTATTTTGGGTTGTAAACAATGTTAACATTTTCAATTTCTGTAACTTAAACACCTTAATATTGGAAGGAGGGAAACTGCACACAAGTACATAAAGTAGGTAGCAGACTGTATAATTTTAACATCTCTAGTTGAAAGCTCACATTGCACTTTTTAAATTTCTAAGAAATCAAGAAAGGGCTACATCCTGACTATAAAAGAAATTTTACTTTTGAGGATCTAGTTTAAATATGTAAAAAGTAACCTGTACTTTCCCATGGGAATTCAGCCCATGACCTTTTAGTTTTTATTGTGTCAACTGCTCAACACTGCTAAGCTACCTGATTTATAGGAAGAATTCATGCAGACAATATAGCAGCAGAAAAGACTCTTGAAATTCTGAATATGTGTGGTACCTGATTAATAGGTAATCTAAAAGAAACACAGAGGACAGACTATTTTTTTTTCTTACATATTTTGCCAATTACCTCTTTATCTCCCAGGGTTTCAAGCAATAAAAGCAGAATTGTTTTGAAGTGCTCATCCCAAACACTAAATGATTCTTCCTGCGTTAGTTTCATGAGTTCATAGAGAGCAATTTTTCTTTCTTCTACACGTTCATTATGGTTAGACAGCTCTTTCAATAACTCTGCAACTAGGTCAGAATGGTCCAGGGAAAGGTCTGTCAAAGGGACATAATTTTGTAATTTTGTAGGTTACAAAAGTGTGAGGATGAAAACTTTGTAACATTATGAAACATAATCAATATTGCAAAAAAAGACAAAAAGATATTAAATAACTTCAATTTTGTCATCCCCAAACACCAGTATGACTTTAAAAACATTTTATAATAATAACAGGCGGGAGAGAACAGTTAAATAAGCTCTCATGTACCCATCATCCAGATTTAACAATTATCAACATTTTACCATTTTTACTGGCAAAAAACAGACCTGAGGATCAATAGAACACATTAGAAGATGCAGATACAACTACAAACACACTCAGCCACCTTATCTTTGACAAAGAGGCCAAACATGTTCACTGGAAGAAAGCCTCTTTAATAAATGGTGCTGGAAAAACTGGCTCCCTATATGGCGAAGACTAAAACTAGACCCATGTCTATCACTATGCACTAAACTAACATTAAAATAGATCAAAGATCTAAATATTAAAACAAAAACACTCAATCTACTGGAGAAGAAAGTAGGACAAAATCTTGAAGACATAGGTGTAGACAGAGAGTTCAAGAACAAAACCCAAACTGTATGGGAAATACTTCAAACACTCAATACCTGGATGGGACCTCATCCTGTTAAAAAGCTTTTGGACATCAAAAGAAATCACCAACAGAGTGAAAAGACAACCCATAGAGTAGGAAAAAAATTAGCCAATTGTCCCTCACACAAAGGACTTCTACCTAGAACATATGAAGAATTGAAAAAAAAAAAAATCAGACCTCCACAAATTCAAAGACCCAATCCAAAAATGGGCATCTAAGATGAATACACACTTCTCACATGAAGAAATACAAACAGCAAACAAATATATGAAAAAATGTTCAACATCACTGGTCATTTGAGATGCAAATTTAAACACTGAGATTCCATCTTGCTCCAGAAAGAATGGCTATCATCAAGAAATCAATCGGTAATAAATGCTTCAGGGGCTGTGGGGAAAAAGGAACTGCTCTTTATTGTTGATGGGTGTGCAGACTGGCGCAACCACTGTGTAAATCAGTGTGGAGATTCCTCAAAAAACCAGGATTAGAAGTCCCATTCGACGCAGCTATTTCCCTTCTGGGTATCTTCCCAGAAGAATTAAAAACATCATATCCCAGCAATATATGTGCACCAATGGTTATAGCAGCACAATTTTAATAGCTAAATCCTGGAAACAACCAAAATGTCTATTAACTGAGGAATGGATAAAAAAGATGTGGTATTTTTGTACAATGGAGTACTACTCAGCTATAAAAGATAAACTTGAGACTTTTATAGGTAAATGGATGCAATTTGAGACCATATTCATTAGTGAAATAAATCAGACTCGTGTGTAAATATCAAATTGCCTCTCTGATGTGAGAAACTGAAAGAGTAAATGAGGTCTAAAATGTACAACAGATATTGTGAAATAGGAAGAAATTGTTAAAAAGGAAAAAGGAACTAGGATGGGGGAAAGAGGAAAGGAAGGAAAAAAATGAGAAAAACTGCAAGTTAATTATACTATTGGTATCTCTTAGTTCATAGAGAATGAAGGTTTCCATTTATATCCACTAGAGAAATTTTTATGCCCTTATCTTATATTCTGAGTAACTACTTTAAAAATAATTTGCAGTGTATTAACTACTATTCTATCATCTAGTTATCAAATTTTGTTTTACCTTTTTTCCATAAAATAGAAGATTTTACCATTTTAACCTTACCATATTGCTAGGATTGATTGATTGATGTTTTTTTGAGATAAGGTCTTGCTTTGTAGTTCAGGCCAGCCTTGAATGCACTATGTAGCCCAGATAGGCACTGACCTCATCACAGTCCTCCTGCCTCAGTCTCTCAGGTGCTGGGATTACAGGTATGCACAACCACACCTGGTTTCTTTTTAAATTTTAAAGTCAAGAGTTGAGTCTAATGGTTACCAAAGTGTTTTAATTTTGTTTTGCTTTCTTTTACAGAGGATAATTATGAACTTACTGATTTTATGATGGCTAAAGGACACTTACTGCTTATTTTCCAACAAGTCATCCAAAATACTTCTCATTATTTTTGTAGGAATAACAGTTAAATCTAAAAGGTTACTCTAGAAGATATTAAATACCAGATGTGGTAGATTAACTAATGGTCAACTTATAACATCCACCTGAACTGGATCACTGTGGTGCTGGGTGTGGAAGGCCCACCTGAGGATTGTTGCCAACAACATAAAAAAGAGAACTGGAGGGGAAGATGGTGTGCTGTTGATTGTCCTGGAGAAGACTGTCATGCTGGTTTTCCTGGTATGAACTCAGCTGCTCTCATCATCGGAGGAATTCCGGTCCTCGCTGTTGCTGAGGATGGCTGCGGTTCTCTTTGGGGAAGCTCTGGTTCTTACTTTGAGTGTCACTTCCTGGCTCCAGTGCAGATCCCTCAGCCTGCTGGCACAGATCCCTCATCCCGCTGGGGCAGACTTTCTATCTTCCACCATAGACTTTGGGCCTTCCCAGTGCAGATCCTTGATATGGATTTGCATGAGACATTGTCATAGGTGCTGGGCCCTCAGTTGGACTTGTGGAGGACACTGCCATGGGCTCTAGGGCTTCAGCTGGATTTGTGCAGAACACTGACATGGGATCCAGGCCCTCAGCTGGATTTTTTGGGTCTCTAGTGTGTGGACAGATTTCCTGTATTCTTTTGCATCTCATTCTATAAATTATGTGTCCTGTATGCCATCTTTTCCCTTGTAAACTCTGACTACAACACCAGAGTTTTCCCCAAATTCTTTTGATGATCAAGGCTTTGAGGAACTTGAACTTGTGACACATCTTCATTTCCTTCCTAACTCCTCTGGAATATAATAAGTACATGGCATGCTGCAGACTAATACTAGAACAGTACTGTTAAGAACTACTGTAGTACCTTTATAAATCTCACACAAAAAAATCACTTGGAAAGGTTATGTTAGCAGGCTTTCACAGGTGACAGAGGATCATTCTGATGAGAATATGGACTTTGTGATCTTACCAAAACTCTGCCTCTTATCCTTTATGTTGTTGAGACATTGACTTAATTATTGTTGTGACTCAGTTTTTCTATCTGTATCAGAAGACATTCACTTTCAAAGGTTATGGTAAGGACATGGCCCTGGGGTACAGTAATTCGCTCACATTAATATTCCTTGTATCCTTCTAACAAATATTGGCACCACTAACATTCTGATCTTTTTGTGAATGAAATGAAAATACAGAAATAAATACAGCTGCCATATGAAGCTGGAACAACTACTATTGTTGTTTAACTGACATTTTATCCATTCAGTGTTTACTCCCTGAAGATCAATATTAGAATAATAATGCTGGTCTAAGAACAATTCAGAAGATAAGCATTACACTGTGATAAAATAATGTTCTCATGTTCAAACATACTCTAGCTAGTTTAGGTTTCAGTAATAGTTTCCTAAGATGTTTCTTTTAACAAAATGAAAATATATGACCCTTGCTGGGTGTAGTGGTGCAGGCATGTAATCCCAGCACTTGGAAGGCTGAGGCAGGAGGATTGTCGTGAGTTTGAGGCCAGCTTAAACTGTATAAGGAGACCCTGTCTCCAAAAAAAAAAAATGACCCTTGATAATGATGAAAATTAGACAATAAGAGAGTGATTTTGCCCAAGTATCATAATGTGGCTTCATGATCTTTGTGCTATATTAAATGTCTTGATATGAGAATTTGGTAAAAACATGACTTCTCAACCTCATTAGTAATCAAGTAAAAATGACATTTTTTCATTCACCAAAATTACAAGTGACTAGGCATGAGGGTCACAGATTCCTGAGCAGACTAAGGAGGAAAAGTGGAACAGTACGGGCTTTCAGAGCCCAGCTAGGTAAGAAAGGTGTCTACATAGAATGGCAACAGGGTATGAGCTCTAGGTGCCAGGGTGTAAGGAGATCAATGGCTTTCAGTAAAGGTACCATGGCAGAGAAGAGCAAGATGTTGAATGTATCTGTGCAAGTGAGGAGGTAGGAGTGGAAATGGAAAACATATAGAAGGATGCATATAGGAGGATGGATGCATATAGGAGGATCGATTAAGTAAGTAAATATATTAAAGATAATGGATGCTAGGTTGCACTCGAGTGCAACTACACAGGGCTGTGGGCAAGTAGGCTACCTGAAGAAGGTCTTCTGGCTCTTCAACAACATGAAGAAGTGAGACCTGGAGCCCTTTGATGCCATGTACACAGCCACGTTCAATGTCTGCCAAATCCCCTGGAAGGACTCAGCTCTGCAGAGTGCCCTGAAGCTCCAACAGCAGCTCCAGGACAGAAACTTCCAGCTCAGTCTGAAAACATACCATGCCCTGCTGAAGGTGGCCACCAAGTGTGCAGACCTGAGGATGTGTCTCAGTGTACTGAAGAAAATTGTCCACAAGGGCCATGCAGTCATAGAGGAGACCTTCAATTTCCTGCTCATGGGCTGCATCCAGGACAAGACGACTGGCTTCCGAGATGTGCTGCAGGTGTGGAGGCACATGCTGAGTATGGGGCTCAAGTCAAACAGGCATGGCTACAACCTGCTCTTGGGGGCAGCTCAAGACTGTGGCCTGGAGGACCCAGATGTGGCTCCAGGTTGCTCTTGAGGTCCAGCAAGGAGATGGTTCTGATCCAGCCTCCAGAAGGCAAGCAGCAGGCAGGGAAGAGACACCTGCCCAGGGCAGGTGATGGAATGTCAGCCAGACTGCATGTGGAGGCCCTGAAAGGCAGCTTTTTATGGAACTTTCTCCAGCACTTAAGGCTTCTCCTGAGCCTTTAAGACTATTTGCAGAAATAATAGCAGAAAATTTCCCAAGCATGGAAAAAGAATTGGTCATACAGATAAGTAAAGAATATAGAAATTCAATTAGCCATTACCAAAATAAATCTACACCCAGACATATAGTGATCAAGATTCCAGGAATTCAACAACAGATTAGGGTATTAAAAGCCATCA